TGCGCGAACTGGGACCGGATGGGACCCCGGAGGGCGGAGAGGGGGGGGCAGGATGCATGTGAGGTGCCCATGTTGGTGAACGATCTTCCCTGGGTGGTCTTGCCACAGGCGGCCCCTTCCCAGGCCCGGAGGCCCTTGGTCAGAGCGTGCGTGCGCCAGATCGGTCTGATGTGGCATGATGGTCAGTCTTTGGAGGATGTGTATGGACCTAATGCGGCCAACATATCGCAGACGAGCTCCAGAATGCAGATTATACCCTCCCTCCAACAAACATGGTTACGTGGAACATGGCCTCTTGGAAGACTGTTTTCCTCTACAAACCGGTGGTTTTCCACTTCAATGATTGTTTCAGGGAGAGTAGCTAATGATCAAACTAAATCATCCATGTTTGCAAGCTTACATAGTCCATCATAGTCCTAATGCAATGCAAGGAAAAAGGATTTGGGGATGTTTTTGGCATGTTAGTTTGGTGTGTTCTCTTTGTTTTTGCTGGCCACCTGACTGGTCGACCCTCTCTGACGGGTCGTTTTCTTCCTCTTTTATCTGTCCTCCGAAGGTGACTCCGGGTGACAAGATCTATTTGGACCCCAGCGTCGTGGGGGCGCCCCACCACGGTGGAATGGGAGCGAGCGAGCGAGCGAACAGGCGCTGACTGGACGCGGTACGGAACGGAAATCCCATGATTCAGGGGTTTGATTCAGCTAAGGGTCTTTAGTACATTACCTGGTCGGTTCGGTTTCAGAACGCCGGTTGTTCTTCTCTTGAAGTGGGACCGGCGCGGTGCACCGGTGCATGGGCCACAGCTTTTCAGAGTTCGAACCGCAGTTTGTCCAAGCCAAACCCAGCAGATTCGTCACCGGCGTTCGTCCACACAGCCAAAAAAGGTCCGGGAGAAAAAGGACATCAAGAATACCTAGCACCTCTTCTTGGGTTAATGCTTTACTTGCATGTGTTTTGTGGTTTCTATGCTTTGATTTATTGTTTCTGTTTTTTTTTGCAGACATTTTGCCGTCATTAAGGCGGTCTTACCCGTCGTTCTTACCCGTTCCCCCTCCCTCTATCAGTAGTTGGGTTGACAAAGGAATGGTCGGTAGTCTTTTGGGGGGGGAGTGAGTGATATATGATATGAGTCTCAAACCCTCAAACCCTCTAGATCACGGACTAGCAAAGGGGTGGCAAGCATTGGCTTTCTCTTTCAGCTTCTTCAATTCAATTTCGGGTTCTGCCTCCTGCATGTTCGCCGTGTAAGTCCTGTTTCTCGGCATTTGAATTCTCCAGCCCGGCAGACCCTGAGGTCCCAGCCCTGCTCTCCACGCGGAAGCCGGATCGCGGACGCGGTAGCGGACCTTCTGCCGAGCGGGAGACGCCGACGCGTCGTCCGACGACCTGTGGCGGCGGAGCTTCCGCAGCGGAGAGGACTGGAGGCCATGAAGTTGGGCAACTGGTGATGGCTGGTGGAGTTCTTGGGTTCTTTAGTGCTTGGGCTTCGGTTTAAGTGTTTTTTCTTTGAAAGTGTTTGGTTCCAAAGTCTGCGGCTTTGCAATGATTTTGGTTACGTAAGTACGCGTTCTATACTGCAAGTCTTCCGGAGCTCAATGACACATGGTCACCACTGCTTCGGTTTCATGTGAGATTTTTTTTCCAGACCTTTGGTGGCTTTAATACTCGCTCGAGAGGCACGAGCGCTCGGCAAGAGATTGGACGGTGGACATGGACATGGTGCCTCAAAGAACAAGACAAACAGACAGATAGAATACCTCAAGGCCTCAAAGGCCCCAAGCAGTCTCAATTGCCTCAATTAGATAAAATAGTAACTCTGTAATGGTCCTCAATGGTCCTCAAATTGCCTCAAGGTTTGGGGGAACAAATCCCAAGCGGTGGAGACGCCTTGGCGATCTTTGGTATTTGAGCCTTACGAAAAGCTTTTTCGCTCAGATGAGGGTATTCAGAAGTTATGACCCTGCACCATCCATCCTGCACCACAGGGAAGCAGCTTGGGTGGTAGATAGTAAGGGAGATGGTGGATCCATAGCAAGAGAGAACTGTTGCTACTTCCCGCAGTTTGCATGGGTCCATGACATGAATTGTATTCAACATCGCTAATGGTAAAACCATTAAAATCCAGCCCGCATTGGGATAACATGCGCAGGCATTGAAAGGCTCAAAAAGTTTGCCCGTGCCCCGCTAGCTCTCCATTTGTGTGGCTTGGATGAGTGACTGCGGAGGCCAAGTGCTCTTTTGGCCCCCAAGCAGTTGGGCTTGATCCAAGCAGTTGGGCCCAGCTCCACTTGGTTTGATGGATGCAACTGCTAGCGCTAGCGACCCGGAACATCCGGTCGCGCAACCGGACCGGACTGGTGGTCCTTTTTCGGAAAGGTCGCCTAAGAATTCATCTTTCGCTATGTGTTTTGGGCGGTGAATCAGCGGGGGGGCACTTGAGTTGGTAGTATAGTTGGCAGTATAGGGAAAAGACCGTGGTCAGTCGTCCTCACGTTTTCGGCACCGCAGGTCACCGGTTCCTGGCGACCCTTGGCCCTGCTATGCGCTGTGGGTTTAACCTACTAGAGCTTGGCCCAGCACCGCCTTCAGACAGAACAACATGCTTCAGATCCTCCAGACTGTTGTCAGATGGAGCAGCCAGTTAGGTCCCCTCACCCACTTTGCGCTCTTGGCCTCCCGTTACACATCAGTAATTAAGTGTTTTCAACAAGGTGTTGCATGGGGCGGCGGACAAAGAGAACATACGGCAGATGGCCGATCGCACCATGTTCTCCATGGCCTGCGAGAACACTTGTTGCAAGGGACACCTATTCCGCCTTTTCCTCAATAGTTAACCTTGAGGCGAGTTTGAATGTTTCATGTGTTTGTTGGTCGGGAAGACCAGGCAACAACATGGCTTTGCTTCGTGAAAGCATTGCAAAGCAGAGCTTGATGGAGGCGCAGTTTTTTGCACTTGGGAGGTTATAGGGAAATTTGTCACGGTCAGCTATGGAGGCTTCGTGAAGATCGACTTTTTCATATATGTTTTGCGAGTTCGTGATTTCACAACCACCTTCGCACGTCCAAAAGATAGCACTAGTTCGTTTCATTTGAGCATTTACCAAGAGCGGTTTTTCACAGCCCTTTCGTGCCCATCCCATATGTACCACCATAGGGTCCTAAGTAGGGTCCTATATGGTCTCTCAACCTCTCTTGGTAGTGTTAAACATGCGTGAACTGCAGGCACACCATACAGAAAGGGTCCTTGGTGTTAGCACCACTGCCTGCAGATGCCTAGGGCCTTTCAGCCTATATATGGCTTGGGCAGGCTACAGGAAACAACAGTCCAACGGATGAAGCCAACGATTGGGAAAGTGACTCCAACAAACATGCTGTGGTGGAACTTGATGTGATCAGATTGAATAGTTGCGTTTAGAACTACTAAGTTCAATTTGGATAGAGGACACACCAAGCAGTACTTGCGCTTCGGACTTTATCCCACGCACCCCGCAAATCTGCTAACTATCCACCGTCCACAAATCATCCACATACTCCTAGACTCTCAGGCATTCTTCACATCAAGATGTATCATTCACTGAAGTTCAAAACCCTGGTTGCCGCCGGTCGAGCTGCATGAGGCCAAGGAGATTTGCAACCAAACCAGTGATCACAAGGCGCTCATTAAGAAGCTTGGCTGCGCACCGCATGGGGGCTGGGTGGGAGGTGATGTCATGCTGTCAACCTCCAGATTTCTTGATGCACTCCTGGTCCCCAGAAAGGTGCCCCGAAAGCATGCGACGAAGCCCTAGCCTTTGTGGCCTTTGTGGAGTCTTGAAAGTCTGTCTCAGGGTCACTTGGAGAGAGAGAGTGAGAGAGAGAGAGAGAACGAGAAAGAAAGAAGAAAACAATACAACTGTACTTGTGTTCGAGGCTGCATTCTTCCATCTCTTCACTTTGAAGAATCTCACTCGGTCGGGCAGAAGTGGGTGTGAAGTATCTACACGAAAACCACACAGCTAGAAGACTAAAAAGGTGAAATGTGCATGATGACATAGTCAAATTGACTCAAATTGAAGTGTTCAAGTGTGCATGATTGAATTACAAAATGCAGGATTAAGAACACAAAAACAACATAAAACAACTACTGCGATTGTGCCAACAGAGAGATTGTTTGACCAGACTTGCCCCCCTGTTTCACAACCAAAAAGGCAGACCCTCTCAAGCTCTTTCATGCGTTTTCTTCGAAGGCTCAAAGCTACCGTGGTTGAACATTCTCATTGAAGTTGCCCATGGGTGACTCCTTCACAATACAGAGCAGGCTCATGGCATCCCATCAAATACTTGCTGAGGAGCAGAAGTTCAAGTCCTGGAAGGTTTGGTTCAGCATTTTGGGCCTCTCTCTTACAGTTAGAGACTTGTCAATGATTGGCAGGGTCCACTTTGGCGTCTATTTGGGGGTGCTTGCGGTGATGTATACCCTCGCCGGGCATAGGGCTGGCTTGTTTGCATCACGGAATCGTTGCAAGGATGGCCTTAGGTTGCTCTCGCTGAAGTTGCTTCACCCAGAGAACTATTCAGCATTTGGCCTGTCGCAGCAGCAAACTCCGGCTAGGGCTTTTATAGTGATTTGCCTTTTGCTGCGCACCCTTGGCGGGATTGGAGGTCAACTTTACATATTCTTTCTTCATGACGAGTTGGAAGACAAAGGGCTCACTGCTCACATGGGGATTCACTCCTGAGGCGGACAGAGAATTGCTCACGCAACGGCTAGCAATGCCTCAAACGGACATTGCGACCTTGTCAGCTCTAATGGTCGGCACGGTGGCAATGTTGTCCTGCTTGGACATGGGGTCCCTTTGTTGGTGGTGTTGCGCCGCCAGGTGTTTTTGCACAGCCAACGAGGTCACTGGTGTTGCAGTCGCTGATGAAGTTTTGCAAGGTCGCATTTCGGACAGGGCCGAGGAACTGTTCGTGCAAATCAACACAGGGCGGCTCAAAGCTACTCCCTTTGCCCATGCAGTTCATGATGTACATTGACATGGCAGTGTTTTGGGCCGACTTTCTTTTGGATGGAGCGTGTGCATACACCTACCTCTCGCTTCGACTGTACTGGGTTTTTGGATTTCAAGTGGCCATCCTGCTTGTGTCAATATTCTCAGAGACGCGTCTTGTGAAGATGCAGTCAGAACCCGATGAATGCGACAAGTGGGGCGTATTCTTTGGTGCATTTACTGCATCCATTCGCCGGGGTTTCCCTACAGACACCTATCTCGCAATTATCATGCGTGAGAAGTCCGTTGAAGCACCGCTGTCCCTACTCTTGCAGTTGTATGCCTCTTTTTGGGTGCCTCAATCCCAAGATGCCCTGATTCCTGTTGAACTTGCCTTCCTTCTCAGTCAGGCTTCTTCAACTTTGAGCGTTTATGGTGTGACTAAGGCGGCATATATCATGTACCATTTGGACATGGGGCGTCACCTAGATGCCCTGGACGAGCCCCCTTCCAAACGAAAGAAGGTACAGTGTTCTTCACCCAGCTTCAAGCTGTGTGACCACCATGTCATGTTCCATTAACAAATTAAAGGTCTATCGCGGGGATGTTGAAGGACCCTGATTTAGTGTGGATGATGAGTTTGACCCACACATAGAGGGCATCTTACACAAGAATTGTGTGAAACATGGTGAAACCAACTTGCTTCCGCCGCGCAACACTTTCAAGCATGCCGCTATGTAACAAATGCATGCTGCATAGATCTGCATAGCACAGGGAGGCCGCCTCATGCCAGGCCTCATTCAGTGTCGATCTGGCCGCGCGGCACGTCCACCTGAATCTTCCCAAAGGTTCTCGGGTTTTTTGGACTCTCGTGTCCCAAGCCTGGTGGATATCCCAAGCCCGGTGGGTGTTTGGGCCAACTCTCTGGCGGAGCACCGTGCATGTTCGTGGATGGCATCGTCTGAGATGTGGGTGGCAAGCAGAAGGGGCGATCTTCTGATTGGGATCCCTGGCAGGCTTCTCCATCACAAGGCATCAGCCCCGAAAAGGTGCCTGTTTTTCGGATGCTAGGGATGATGGAGGGGGTTTACACTTAAGGGAGGTTCTCAGATTCAAGAAGCTGCAAGGCCAGAGAAAAGACGCGCTCACGAACGGGGAACAAGGCTTCTGCTTGGGGGTCCACCTTCGAAGACGATGTGTTCGTCTGTCCCGGTCCGTGGCCTCAGGAAGTTCATCCAAACGTACGAGTCTGACTTGTGTGACGACGTCAAGTACGGGAAGAAGAAGCGCCTTTGGTCGCAAGAACGGCCTTTGATCGCAAGAAGGCCAGATTTGCTTGGAGTCCTTCATTTCGGCCCTCCAAACCACCCCAATGTAGGCATATATGGCATACATGGAGTGTCTGGGTTTGGATCGATGCATTTGGCTAGTCATACTTGGAGCGATGCAACGTGTTCAAGTCTGAAAAACGCCAAGAACGCCAGGGTCGGCAGTGGAACGCCGCCCTATAACTTGGAGTCCAAATAAAGTCTTGCTAAGGTCTATTGAGCTTAGCAGGAGCAACAAATCTTTGATAGCACCAGACCCCCTTCCACTTATATAGTTCCCAAAACCGCGTCAACGCGGTTTAAACCACCGCCAGCCACGTGGCCTCCGCCACCCCGAAATTCGTCCTACACCGTTCCGTTGGGTCCGATGTCGCGTGCGACGGTGCGAGGTATCAGGCGATGCTCCAAGAGGCGGTGAACAATCGGATTGGGACGATTGTCATCGACTTGGACGATGTGGAGCAGTCCCACGGCCGAGGGTATCGTGAAGCTCGGGGGCGGAGGGTGGAGCGTGGAGCTGGGGCCGAGCGCAGCGTGCTGCTCGTGTGGTGCGCCCTGAACACCCGAAGATCGGAGGATCGGGTTCGCTGGGCGGCTGGAGTGCTTGTCGTCAACACAAAGACCTGCTTCGAATCACTGATGCAGAGAAAGGGTCGGCAGGAAATGAAGATGAGCATGCCGAGGTGGAGTGATGAAGGTGGTTGAGGGGTCTTGACTGGAGCGAAGGATTTTTTTTGTGTGGAGGTTTCATGAAGAGATTGTCTGGGGGTTTGGCTGATAATCCCCTGACAAGTAAATGTGGGCCCTAGCGGTTCCTTGCGTGGGAGCAAAAGATGATCTCACCAAACAATGTTTGTCAGAGTTAGTGGTGTCAGGGTTGAGTTCGAATGAGGCAGATGAGATCAAGGCAATGCAACGCTAGATCATTTTTGAACAGTCCCTAGAGCTCCAACTACACCCTCAGGAGGTATGACTGGACCCTCCAAACCAACGCCATCCAGCACCAAACACTTTCTCAGAAGGTGCGACTGGAGCCCCCCAAGACGTACGAAACGCCAAGGGATCTGTCGCCCTTTGTCCGGGAACCTCTGAGATAGAGCGGAGGGTCGCGGGTCTCCGCCGCCGAGGTTCTGCAAGAAAGAGCTGAAGGAACCGGACCTTCACATGACCCTTGGCCAAAAAGCCGACCGGGCACTGGTTTTTTCTAACTACAAATGCATGGATCATATATATATATATTATATACCTAGAACCTGATTGACCCTTGTTTGGGAGGCAAAACATGGTCTTTTCCTATCACAACAGAGGTCACATGGGTTCCAGGATTCTAGGTATATACACAATTAAAATCAATTATATAGGCCTCTGAAACAAAAATAGACCACCCCAATCGAGGTTTATTTTTTCGCCAGTCATCGCCAGTCCCTTTATACTTCGTGTTTGGCCGAAGACTTCGAATTTGAGTCGACGGCCAAGTGGGGTGAATTTAACAGAGATGGCCTCCAGGTGGTGGGCTAGATTGGTGGATGGAGAGGTTCTGCATCAGTCAGCAGGAAGGGGAACTTAGTAGGGACTCAGCTAGAGATCCGATGGAAGAGTGGCATTCTTTAAGTTCTGGAAAGGTGATGATGTTTGTTCCCTGTTCCACATTTCTACATGGTTCGAGCATACTGAAAATAACTTTTACTCTTAATTATAACAGTTATATGGATCTCCATCGCAAGTCCCCATGCCCACTCGCTGCCTAGTTGATCTCAAGCATGGACCCCCCAGTAGCCATTGCTAAAGACGGTCGATTCACGCAGGAGGGTTTTTGGCGTTCCGAAGTTCGGCGGCCCCCCAGTCCCAGTCCAGCTTCGAAGAGTGCTTCTGGCCCAGTCCAGCTAGTTGTTGAACATCGGTACTAGTGTCAAAAAAAAACAGTAGCTGTCTTTGGGGGGACATGTGACATGACAGCTTTCCTAAGTTCAACTTCGGCCTGCCAAATTTTCTGCATAAACACTTTTTTTCATCTTTATTTTTGTATGCCTGCTTGTGTCTATAGCCCAGATGCCTGGCTCAGGAGCCAATCAGTTCTGGACTTGCAGCAATCCATCGAAAGCTTGGTCAGCTGCGTGGAGGGCAACGTGATGCGATACCGCCTCTTCTTCTACGAGGCACTTCCCTGCGCACGCATGCGCACGCAAGCGCAAGCGCTTCCCCGTGCGCTTAAGCTGCGGTGCTGCCGTGCAGGGAGGGAACGGAACTAGGGGCTATGGCCCAATGGCATGGGGAGGGGGGCAAGGCTAGAAATCAACAGACGTCGCGTGTAAGTACGGCAGGTCCTGTAAGTATAGTGTCTAGGCCAGGGACGTGGGCCATCAGGTCAACAAATTGTTACAGGAAAAATCCATGGACTCTAAGGATAACCTTATAAGGGTGGGGGTACATCCTCTGAAGTAGAGGAGTATGTCCACCCATCTGTGTGAAGGACATGTAGATTTGGATGGGACCAACGATTGCTTTCAAGCCTGAACCATAGAGGTGTCATACTTGGCAGAAGCTGGCATCTAACCGACACAACTACACAACTCAGCGCTACCGTATATGGCAGTTTGTCCCTCCAAAGAGATGCCTTGGTAGCACTTAGGAGCTGCAAATATATGCATTTCTTGCACAAATACTACTGTACATGACAATAAAACCACATACAAAACCTCACGTGACTCACGTCATTCTTGCTCATGTTTCGCCACGTCCATCGAACCACCTCACTCCGCCCACTTCAGCCTCCGAACACCTCCGCCCTGCAGGTCTGCGATGCCTTGCAACCGGCGCGCGACGGGGGCTACCGCGCCGAGGGTGCCGCCAAGGCGCGGGATGCGGTGCAATGCTGGCGCGAACGCTTGAGCAAGCAGAAGGACGGAAGGGACACGCCCATGGGGGACGGACACGTGTGTGGCTGTGGTACGGACAGAGGTGCTTTGTATGGGGATATGGGAGAGCAAAATGCGACACAGTTGACAAGTTCATGATTGCTCCATTCAAGGGGTATAATTATTCCATGTGAGGCAGAAGCTTTTATGCCAGAGGGGTCGTCCCTTGTCAAATGCAGGTAGATCACTGAGCAGGGTCTCTTATGTCTTATGTCCGTGGTTGGCTTCCCAGTGAGAGCGTCCGATTTCCACGCCTTGGAATTTGGTGTCGGAGTTGCTATGACAAAAGCCACTTGCCATGACCCTCAGTCGACCCCTTTGGAATCTCCATTTCTGACCTTTAGCAGGCCTACAGCATGTGAACTCATCCTATAGGACCACTTGGAAGAACTGGGCCACTTCGAAGAACCGGACCACTTGGAAGAACCGGGCCACTTGGAAGAACCGGGTGCTTTGTTTTCACACTCCTTCCGTGTTTGTTTCGCCACCGACCCAGAACCACAACAGACTATGCGTGACCGCCGGTCACCCACGGTCCGCAGGAGCAACAGGGTGGAGCGCTGCCGAAGGACTGCGGCGTCCCCGCGAAGCTGAAGAATCCCTGGGACATCCGCTGCTGGGCACTGAAGAAAGCATTCCCAGACCCGACGAGTCTGGGACTGCCAGTCCGGACTGCCGCCCCAGAAAGACCCCCAGTCCACCACCCCTGGCCGTATATACGGCAGTCCTATGACAGTCCTCTAGACGTGTCTGGGAACCGACGCGTCCGTTTGGCGCGGCGTTCCACCAGGTATTCCGGGTCACATTTCTTCGAGTCCTCAGAGGGGAGGGGAGGGTTGGGTGGCCGGGTTTTATCACACAGCTCGGTGGCGAAGATGTTCAAGGATTATCAAGGATTTGGTGTTCAGGTGTGTATAGCTCGAGCTGTTTTGGGTGCCTTCAAGGAGTTGAACTCCATCAGTTTCTGGGTGGAATTCCTGTGCACAATCTGAAACATGAGCATGAACAGGAGGTGGGCTCGCCTTTTGGCCTCCGAAGACATCAACTCTGAAAGAAACCATATTCGCAGTTTCTAACCATGTTTTTAAACATCTCAAAACACTTCAAAATAACTGAAAACCTGGAGGACATGTGTGTTTTGAGATGTTCTAGAAACATGGAACAATTCTGTTATAGAAACAACTTATAAAAACACCACCTCACCATGCCAAAAACCTGGGAGCTCCAACGCCAACTGCACCGAGGCTTCAAGCCTCGCGGCACTTGCCAGAGCATCCCCCTGCGTTCCCTGGACGCGACCTATTCGGTTCGATCGGTTCGTTTGGTCCTCCGTTTAGTCGAGCCGTTGAGGATGGGAAGAGACAGAGAACTCCAAAACTGAGATCCCTTCCACCCTTTGACTGGTCATCAGTTGAGGCGAGCCGTTGAGGGGCCCTTCCCTTAACGAAAACTTGCTTAGAGAGATTGGTTGGAGCTTCTGGTTTTATCAGGTTCCCCCTAAAAAAAGAGGCAGACGATCGCCCGATTGTGGGTATTGTATGCTGTGTCAGATGGTGTCAGGATTAGGTGTTGTTTGCCATTGTTCTTGTCCGCTGCTTGGTCGCGGGTATATAGGTGTGAAGATACACCGGTGGCGAGGGTTATGTTGCAGTACTTTGCACCCATGTTATTCCATTAACACATTATGACTCTCGATGGAAAACATGATTGATTGAGCTGAGGATGGAATACACTGGAAATGTGGGTTGAGATGGGTGAGGAAAAAGCCGCCTATTGAGCCAGTGTGTGCAAGCTCTCAGGTATCACAAACGACACTTTGAAGCATGCCCCCCCCCCCCCCGCCCACAAGGATTTGTAGATATGTGTAGTGTTATGTAATTTCCCTGTATCAGTCAATGACAGCTGATACAATGTCTTGCGCGTTCCGCTGTTTAGATGTTATATATATTCATCAGGATGCTGGGATGGGTGGGCCTAAAGAGATGCTTTTGATCCAGATCGTTGAGGGGTGTGTAGTGAAATAAGAAAAAGTAAGTTTCTTCTTAGACTCAAGAGTGGTCCCTTCGTCACCTCTTGATCAACTTCTGAGTCCTGGTATGTCTTACAGTCTTGCAGGCCCCTCCTGGAAACTGAAACCAAGTTTCCAAGATGTTCCCCAACAATTCCAAACCGCTTCCAAACAAAACCATGCCACACCAACTTGTCAATCTTCTTCGTGTCATCTTTTTATCACCCCACCCATCAAAAAACCGTTTAACCCCCCCTTACCAAATAAAAAAAAATATGCACAAAGAATACCCCGCACAAAAGAATCAATGCACCGGACCCTCTCACCTTCTCGCTCGCCCGCATGCGCACCGCCCCAACCTCGCCCATCTCGCCATCCCGCTGAGAGGTCAGATTCGCGCGGAGTCCGTGGGGGCGCTGATCCAGTTGGACTGCCTCGTGGTGAATCTCTCTCAGGCCGTCGACTGCCACGTGGACACGGTCCGTTCGGTTCGGTTCGGCGTGCGGTTCGCTCGTTCCGGCTCTCTCTTTCGGCGCGTGAGCTCGTTGAGAGCGGTGGAACGATGCGGGGAAGGTCGATTGTAAGAGGAGCAGATTGAGATGAAAGGCATATAGCAATTGAACAGGAAGATGATGGGGAGTTCTGTGTTGTGGTTCTAAATACCTTTCATCGCTAAAGCCTTTTTGGGCATGTTCTTCCAAACAGCATGTTCCAGGAGGTCAGTGCCACCTCGGTCCACCATACCTCTCGGACCACACCACCCACCGATATGGGCCCCGAACAGCCTGCACCGAACAGCGTGCGATGGGCCGCGTGGCAGGTGAAGCCGAAGGTGGAGGTGGTCACCTACCACTGCGAGACCTGTGGCTCTGAGATCTTTCAATCGGTGGAAGGTGCGGACGATGGACTGCGGGCCGGCGACATCGGCGGATGGACGACATGGAAAACGACCCATGATTGGTCCCCCATAGGGCGACGACCTTGTGGTGTCCTGTTTTTTGTGGAAGGGTTTAGTGGTTTGATTGATGGAGTTTGGCAACAGATTTGTGTATTGAGTGGTGCTTGAAGTGGACCCTTCTCAGGGCCCGCCCTGAGTCACTGGTATTTGGAGTGTCGTCACCATGTTCAATCTTCATCTCTGACAACCCTCCGGAAGCCCTAGCAAAAAGTATCTGACAGCCTCTGGCCCAAGTTATAATGAGTATTATAATCCCTAGGGATCCAGTCGTACCTTCTCAGAAGGTGGGACTGGGGTGGGTGCCAGGAGGATCCAGTCGTACCTTTTGAGGTTCGGTACGACTGGATCCCTAGGGACAGCTTTCGTCCATTTGCATCCATCTGGAGGCCGGGAAGTCCGTTCATGGAGCATATCATCCCTTTTGGGGGACCTTCAACTACCTCAGCTTTGGTGGTTGAGGTGGTTTTTCCAAGGGAGTCTAACCACCTAAGGATGTGGGAGCCCCAGGATGCCGGGCATGATCCGTTGGCCTTTCGCTCCTCGGCCGGAGGCGAAAACTACACTCCGCCGAAGGAATGCCCATCCCAGAAATGCCGGGACAACAAGCAGTCAGGCCGGGCCCGGTGCAGATTTAGACAGTGCCATCCGAAAAGGGAAAGAAAAAACAAGCACACAGAAAGAAGGGGGGCTTGAGATGTTGGTATACATGTTGGTAGAAGGGCTTTTTTGGGTCTTTCGTGTTGAGTTCCGCAGCCATTTCATCTCCACACGTCGGCGAAGGGAAAAGAAGCATGTCGGCCCACGTGTGTTACGGACGCCTGCGTGGCTCGGGGGTGGCCGACCAGCCTGTGGTTGGGCCCGGCACCGTCGAAGGGCGTCATTTGGACAGAATGGAGATGCATTGGACGTCATGGGGATGCATTGGGACAGAATGGAGATGAATGGTTCGCCATCTTTCGCTGGTGCCCAGGCAACCTCCGGTGCAACATTCGAACTTCGGCCTTTACCAAGCATCAGGATCGGGATGTGACAGGAAAGAACGAGGATCTGTTGGCAGATGAACATGGTGAACATCTCCAAATTCAGTGGTCTTCATCAGAGTTTTCATCGGTCCTTTGAAGGATGACCCCCACGATTGGGTCATGGTCCTTTGGAGGGGGGAGGTTGTACTCCTGGAATGTCCGCTGTGGTTGGTTGCCCCCTGCTTTTTTCTTCAGCGAACACTGGCTTTCTGCGGTCGGCTCCTGCCCAGAGGAGCATACACCAGGGATTGGATCAAAACGACCTTTGAAGGCCCGAGGATGACAAGACGAGCATATATTTACGGTCATGCGCTTTGGTTAGTATAGATGTATTTGGAGTGGCCACCAAATACATGGAGACCTTTTCCAAGACATGCACATGTAAAGGCGACAGACACGAGGATGTAGACTGGTGCTGGCGGGTCGTAGCTCACGAGCTGGGACATCAATCACCTTCAGGCTTAATCTGTTGTTCGTTTGTTCACTGGGTCCAAGGGTGGGTTGAAGGCATTTATATACAATACCCTACAAGTCAAAGACCTCATTTTACTGGAGATGGTCATACAAAACCAATACTTAGGAGGTAAAAGGCCAGGTTTTACTGGGTCTTTGGATAGTCAAAGCAGATTTGGGCCTTCCTGCGACATTTGGTGCTAGATACTCATCCGTGAAGGTCCGGGCGCCACACTCACTTCAACCGCTGGAGTTACTCTCCATCCGTCTCTCCCGATCCCCTGCGGCACTTCTGAAGGAGATGAAGGTCCAAGAGATGTCGGACCATGTGCCTCAAGGAGGCGTACCCAGGCGCGAACCATTTTAGAACTAGTTCTTGGGATCCCCAATGCTGCTGAGACGCTATGACGATGACTATTTCCCCTATCTATCCCTTATGAAATGCCTGGATGGTGACCCTCTACCTAACAATGACCACGGATTTTTTCTTGGGTTGATTTGTGAACGAGCACGGAGGAGTGGATACACTTGGCTTGCCATCAAGGGTTCGAAGTGAACCTTGAAGGAGTGGATATTCGGATGTACTTGGTCCAGCTAGGCCCTATAGGCGTAGCACACTGGCAACACCCAAGCACAATAGCTTGTTATGCACACCCACTGTATCAAAGGAGGAGGTCTGGCGAACATCAAGACTGCCAGAGGGAAGCGCACAGATTCTCTTCACTTTTCCTCCCAAGGCTTTTAATGGCGCAACCACAGCTGTGAGGTCTTAGAGAGCTCCCACCACCGGAGAAAACACAATCTGTTCAGTTCACTTCGGTTCTGTTCACTGTTCCTGCTTGCATCCGTTCGGCATGGTTCGCCGCCCCGGCCGGGCGCACTCAATGGCCCCACGCGGCGGCAGGTCCATCTCTGTGCTGTTGGAGGGGGACTTAACACGTCAGGTCCTGGCGGGTGATGCCATCACCTTGACCGGCGCCCCTCGGTGTGCGCCGCTTTTGTGTGTGGATGAGAGCAGGAGCGGACTTAGCGGCAAGACGCAAGACTGGGGCGGGTAGAAACTGGGAAATCTATCAGATTCGGCAACATAGAGGGCTAGGAAGGTGCCTTTAGGTTTTGCTTAAGGTGATTTGTTACTTTCCCCTATGGTTGAATCCCCATTCTGGGGCCGGAGGAAAATGTATTTTCTACCTTTCACAGGTTCTTTAAGCAAATCCGAGCCTATAAAAAACAGCCCTTGCAGGTCTTGTTTGGATTCGGTGGCCGAAGAAACACATGAAGATGTGAACCCCGATCCTTGGAGAATCCTGCCGAATCCGGCTTGCCTGCCTTTCAGCATTTTTGGAGCGACCGGAGGATCCCACGGATTCATCCGGAACAGCACACCTGTCACAATCTTCAGCATGTTTGGCCTAGACACGACCTGTCTGGGACTGCCTAATTATGCCTAATTAGATTGGGGTGGTTTGGATTCTCAATGTAGGTAGATATGGCAGTCCCAGGGAGTGTTCAGGTGGTGTACCTTCTTTGTGGTTTCTTTGGTGACTCCGCTCATCCTGCATGACTGGATCAAGGGCTGACTGGATCTCACCACTTCTGGGTTTGGTCCGGCTGCTAAATGTTGTGCGCCCCAGGGTGACGGTACATATCGAAGAAGACTTGTGTGCAGAATGGTGGGATCATACATGTGTTTGTTTGGTGATTTGGCGGATTTTATAATTACACATAATATCACGTGATCATACATTTCCGACCATGTCTCGATGTCACTGGCTAAGGTCTACTACCCTCACAGCTTGCCCTACTTCCAAAAGATGAAGATGCGCACGCCCACCACACAGAGGATGTTCATCGAGGCTCACCACATCCAGAAGCACAAGACGCTAGGACCGCTACTGTAGGAGTTTTTGGCGGTGGCGGTGCTGGTTTGAGGGATTGCTCGTCCATGCGAGCACTCTCAGTCATTGTCAACTAGCAATGTAGGAGTGATTCAGGGTGTTTTTAATATACATCTTACATGTCATCACATTTTCACATTGGAAAAACACCTTTGCATCAAAGGGCAGCACCTCGACACATGCACCTCTTGGTTTGCTCCAGCTGGGACGAACGGCCAACTCTTGCGCGCTGCGATGTGTGGTGCTCATTCAATGCCATTGATGAAGGCCAGTCTAGCAAGCTTTATTGTTACTAGTAGCTTCTTGCTCCTAGTAGTAAGGCCAGGAGCCCCTAGTAGCGTCCTTGCTCCTAGTAGCAATGCCCGGAGCCCCTAGTAGCGAACATTGTTACTAGTAGTAATGGCCAGAATTCGTCAACATGGCTATGTTAGCCGTGCGCATGAGCCGTCGCATATGTGCTCAGGGACAACACACTTTGCTGACATGCATTTTAGCCTGGTTTAGATGTAGATAAGGAAACTGAGCACCCCAGGGCAATTGCCAGGCTCGGCCCGCAAGGAAGGCTCAGAAGGTCCTTTTGAGCTATAATTGCACTATATACTTGTAGGGTTCAGAATGAATGTAGGGATATACTGAATTTTGCAGATGAGTGTCAGTCAATCTGGGTCCTGACAAGCACAGACACCACAGACACCACTCAGGAAGGGCTACAGTGAGACTGCTGTGGATGAGGATTGGGTTTCGAGCAATCGCTTGTTCGAGCTTGCTTCTCGCGTGGAGGTCTTTTGGACATGGAGTTCGACTACCAAAGTCCAGGATCAAAAGTGTGGAATTCAATCTTGCTCAGCTTAGCAGACCTATACCTTTCAACAAGACATGGTCAGTTGTAAAGGGTTGTGCAGTGCAGCTGCAAGACCACAGATTTCCTGCGAAATACCTAGCCCTTTGCTTCTGGGGACGTCAGGTTCCAGATAAGAGGAATCCCTACACTGCCCTATACTCTTATGTAGACTCCTCTTGATTAGTAAAAACATCCCATTGAGATTCTAAAGCCTCTTCGTGTAGGGTGGCTGTATGTGGCTTTATTCGCAAGGAGTTTTTGACTATATAAATCAAGAGTCCACATTTCTCTGTGCATCTCCGCTTGCCACAGCTCCAGCCCTGTCATTTCTCCCAGTGATGTGATTCAGATTCGGTCCGATCGTGCGTAGACTTAGACCGTTCAACTCTGTCCAGCTGCGCGCTTTGCAGGATGTCATGGAGCACAAGATCCAAGAGGCCCTGCAGCACTCGGGCGACCGCTGCTCGGCCGAAAAAAGAAGAGTCCGCCATGGTGAAGGGAGGCGGGGGGAGGATGGGTGAAGAGGGGATGAGGTTTCAGCTTTGGTCCAAGTACCAAAGCTGCACAAATCCGCGCCTTGTGAAGCAGATGGGGTTTTCGTTGCATGCACCGATCACTGAAACCTTTAAAAATGCCACTTGGAACATCTTGGAACCATCAAGAAGCCGCTGAACCATGCTTCACAAAACCAACTGGTGCCAAAGCACAGACCCAACTTGGCATTCTCCTGTTGCTAGATGCAGTATGTTTGTGTTCCTCAAAGGGCTCAGGGCTTGTTTAAAACCATGATCATGATATGTCATGATCCCCCTCATATACTTGTATCCCTATAAAATGAGGATGCCTTGTGCTTATAAAATGCCACCCCAATGGAACAAGTGACGGGGATATGTCATGTGTTATTGAAAAGGCACGCACCCACTCACACATCGAACCTCTCAGAACCAACCATCGAACCCAACCATCGCGCCGCACGCGAGGATTGTACGAGCACGCCGCCAAGTCCATCGCACCGGAGATTTTCGGAGCCTTGGCCACCGGAGATCGCTCCCCAAATCGGTGCCAGGAGCATCCAGCAGCTTCAAAGTATCCGGGGATCTCAAAAGAACGCTTTGAAAACGTCCGGCTGTGTGTTTTTTGGGCTGTGGTGAAGAAGAACATAGCTGTGATTGTGGGGTTACAAGTGATTTTCTGCTAGATGGTGATATCATTGACCCGTAATGGTGGACCATGAATAGTGAATAATGGTGTCAGTGCAGAATGGATTGTCCATCAAGAGTCAAGAGTTCGTTGGCGTGTGGTCGGTGGTGGCTCTTGTAAGCTCTTGTTAGTCTTTCTAGCGTGGGGTGTCAATGGCTCGCAAAGTTGGGAGTGGGTATGTGGGTTGCCTGCAGTGTCTTAAGCTGCCTGATCATCCGTGTCTCAAGGGGGGTTGCAGGCTGCAGGCTGCAGGCTCTAGTGACCTCAGATGTGACCACACATGCAGCCCAGGACATGAGGATGTCAAGAAGGCATTGTTGCTGGTGCTCATCGGCTCCTACACCAAGCAGATGCAGGACTCTGACCGCCCCCAGGGGGGCGGTCAATTCATGATGGCCATGCATCCCATTATAAATGTGTGGTTAGTGTTGGGTGGATCCCATAATATCCATGCATCTATTATACTATATTGTGCTTCGTGTTGGATATGATGTTGCTTTGATTCGACAGGAACCTCGTGAGCGGGCGTTGGAGACACCCGTTAAAATCCCGGAGCTGGGACCCTGGTTTGAAAGGACATTGTCTGCAGCGGTTCAGTTTCTTTAAAAGGAAAAGCATTTAAAACGCATACAACAGATACTTAAGTCATTGTTGTGTGCTGCAGGGTGAAGGCATCCAACAATTCAAGTCCTAACAGCCTAACAATTGCTGAATGAAGTCCTGCTCTAAAACCTTGTGGGTGTGATGTGTGGGCAGGGCCTGGGGCAGTTGAACCGAGGCCCAGAACAATGGCTGTCGCAAAAAATGCTTGAAACCATTTAATCAAATCCAATCAATGACTCAAGCAATTACCAAATCTACAAAGAGTATAACAACACTTTCCGTATGATAGCAACGCCAACCTGCCTTCTCCAGTGGAAAAAAAACAGACGCTGAGCAGGATGGCCTGAAAATCCGTGGGGACATCCACACCTTGATGATGGGAGACCCTGGAGCCACTGAACTGACCATGGGTTCGTGTGGGGGACATGGAGGAGGCCGGGTGTTGTTTTTGGAATGTTTGTTTTTTTCTCAGTTCGCAGTGATTTGCAGTGGGTAAAAGATCAACACATGTTTGTAAGGAGAAACATGTTTGAAACACCTCAAGATCACTGGGTTCAATTGGGATGCACCCCCCAAACAGAACTGATTGACCCAAATTACTTGCTGCTCGTAAGCCCAACAAAATCCGACAACGATGAACCAAGTACCAACTGCGCACATCAGGTTCAATCCTGAACAAAGACCATTCCCAGCATCACTTGCAAGATTAGGATCCTTGGAAGATCTACACTTTCCTAGAACCTGATTGACTCCTGTTTTGGAGCCAATGCATGGGTTCTAGGTTACTGTTGAAATGTCACTCACCGATCGATGGATCCGTGTATGTATGTGTGTGTGAACGCCGAGCATCGAATTACCATCGATTGGGTCGTTTTCACGACGACGCATCGATGCGGCGGAACGTGCAGAATGAGGTCGCATGGAATCGGACCTGCCAGATACGTTGACTAGGAACATCAACCACCCTCCGACAGGTCACCAATTGAGGCCCTTCCCAATGATTCAACTAGCGACCTGTTGGAGGTTGCTGGCATAGGTATTCCATCTCTCTTGAAAGGCTTGCAGGTGCGGATGAACGTTCTGGAGATCACATGCTCGCTCGCTCGACCGGACTCTGGGCCCTCCGACACATGAGCTCGCCCAGATTCACCAAGGATACTCTTTCAGAGGTGCATGTTTCTCAGGCTTCAACCTAATTACATCAAGCAAAATCACGATCCAATGCCCTCCGCATGGGGTCCGCTGATGGTCCTTGGAGCTGGCTTATGGATCAAGTATGATCAAGTCAAGTCCCTAGAAGATGTTAGAACCATGTAGAACCCAGAAGAGGCCACCTGCCACAAATCCGGTTGGCAGGATTTTGCCCCATCCCAGGTGGCCAAGAGCCAGTTGCTGAAGCAGGTTTGTGCCATTGCTCCCAGGCGGCTCCGCCCACACCCTCGGCTCGGCGAAAGCGGTTCGGGTCCGTGAAGGCCAACAACACCCCGCTGGGAGCGCTTGGGCTTGCCAGCTTGGGCTTGCTGACATGAGAGTTAGGTCACAAAATGGTTTCAAAGTCCAACTACTGTACCTACACTTTCGAATTCGAGTGACCTTTTTAAAACGTGGCACCACACTACTGATCACCATTGCCAGAATCACCACGTCGAATCCTCCATCTCTTCCACCATCGGAACCATCTCTTCCTCCGTTTTGGACCGATCGGTCGGTCTGCACCCACCACCAGGTCGGTCTACACCACCGGCAAGGGCTCCACCGGTGTCGGTTTGACTGCCACGGTGAACCGCGACAACGCCACGGGCGAGGCGAAAGAGAGACTGGGGAGAGAGTGCGTGGGACGTAGGCAAAGGCATCTCCAGTAAGGAATGCATTTTATGTCCCTTAAAGTCATGTCATGTGTTTGTGTTTTCATGTTTTGTCTTTGCTTGTGGTAGTTCACGTTCACCAAAAGCACCTTGCAAATCTGTATCATGGACTTGTTTTGAGTCTAGATCGGCTGCCAGTGGTAGGTTGAGCAGTGTGATCGCCTTGCTTAGTGCCCCATGACTGTCACGATCGAATCGGAGCAAGATGGACTTTGATGGAATATTATGTTTCCAAACGTCCATGTATGGCATATTTCCGTACATTTGGGCGGTTTCAGAGATCAGTGTGGGCATATATATATATATATGTACCATACCTGGAGTGTTTGGGTACTGATGCTTTGGTTTGAAAGGGTCCAGTGGCCTGCGATCGAAAGCGATGTCGGACACTCTCTGCGAGGTCACACTGGAAGGTGGCTCGTTGGTGCTGGCGGACATGGGAGTTTGCTGCATCGATGAGTTCGACAAGATGGAGGAGGGTGATCGAACAGCGATCCACGAGGACCGGGCAGACATGGAGTGTCCATCCATTCCATGTCCCAGACGCAGCCGAGTGGCACGCCGATCAGTTGGGGCAGTCTGTTCGAGTGTAGGTAAAGATTTCCAGGTTTATGGATCGTGGGTTGGGTGAACATTTGGGAACGGTGCTGTATTGCTGGATCAGGTCCCGAAGCTGAGTCCAGCTGTGAGGTGGTTAGTTCATGTTAGTTCATCGGGGTGGCAGAAATCATTGGACTGGGCGAACTGAGGAGGGAGGCGTTGAAAAAAGATGTGGAATCCTTGAAGGTGTATAACATAATGGGCCCTCCCCCAGCACCAAGACCAACCTTTGTGATTGGATGAGTGCTTTTGTTGCATGGCCGGAAACCTGAACTTTGTGCATTTCCATTAGCCATTGCATTGCGGACATGTTTGAAAGGAGAGCCCTGCAGCAAGATTCTGACTTGAACAGAAAATCGATGGCCCCCCCCAGTTAGGTGCGTTGCGCCACCCCCCATTTAACATCCCCAACTGGTTGGAGCATTGGAAGGCCTTGAGTAGAGCCACGGTGGGCCTCCACTTCATGGTTTGTTGGATGTGTTGGGCACCAACAGGGCTTTGCTAAGAACCCAAGCACCAATGAGCTTCCCTTTCGCAAGCTGAGCATGAGTCACATGTAACGACTCGGTCCGGTCCGGTACTGCCGGTTGGCATCGGACGCGTGCGCGCGTGCTGCTGCTCCGCACGGCGGAGGTCATGGAGCAGCAGACGGTCTCCATTGCCAAAGCGGGCATCACTACGACGCTGAACTGCCGGAGACCTTGCTGCGCTTGGGCGTTCGGGCGAAGATGGACCCTACACCTCCAGTCGTACCTCCTCAGGTATTTAGACCCTCCTGGCACCCATCCCAGTCCCACCTTCGAAACGAAGGTACGACTGGAGGCCAAACCGGGGAGCGAACGGCAATTCCAAATCCGGCACCCGATGTAAAGGATCGATCTGAAGAGATCGAGTAGCTGGGGCCCCGTGGGAGTTGTTTTTCTTCCAAGCTTAGCGAATTCATTATTTGTCATTAGTGAAGTGGGTAGCTGTATGTTGGAGAACCTGGTAGGCTGCAGGAGAGCTGAAACGACGCATTGGTAGGAGCTGAAACGACGCAGTCGCTGTTTCATGGCAAACGCGAAGCGATCAACCAAACGCTCACCAGATCTGGGAAGTTTGGTGTGCGTGTGGGTGAGGAGAGAGAAAACAACAACACGGCACCAACTGCTGCGACTGGCCAGGACCACCATTTTGGCAGCGGCCAATCCCGTCTACGGCCGCTACAACCCCTACAAGTCGCCAGTGGTGCCCTGGGCGACGGTTGTCGTGGTCGTAGGTAGAAGCGCAGAATGCGGTAGAAGATGGATTCCCGCCTGTGGCAGTTTCATGCGTATTTACTAATTACTGTCAATATTCAATATTGTTTCTCAAAGCTTCTCAGACCATATAATGGACTGTTCGAGGTGTTATTTCCCTTGTGGCAGCTGTTTGAACCCAGCAGATTCCAGAACCACAATTTAGTCCTACATGGAGAATTTTGCACACAAAGCATTGTGCAACTTGCAGGGAGGAAAAGCTACCAAACTGTGCATGCAACTCATGCAACTGCTGAGAACGACTCCCAAGCAACCTGCACCCACGCGCAGCACACACGCACAGAACAATGGCTGAGGAGAATATCGACCTGCCCGCCGCCTTGCTTTCCCGCTTCGATTTGGTCTTCCTTCTGTTGGACACTGTAGACTGTGACAAGGCGAGGATGGGAGGTCTCACCCGAATTCGCTGTGAACGTGTGCCACGATTGTGGAAGTTGGACCTTTGGGACTACACGAGTCGTTGCCCCCGAGTCCGGTGAGTTCTTTGAGATTTGGCGATGGTTTCTTTCCCTAGGGATCCAGTCGTGCCTTGTCGGGTACGGTGATGTGTTCGACACTGTTATGTAGGTGCCAGAAGGGTCCAAGTGCCTTCTGAGAAGGTACGACTGGACCCCTAGGGTTTGCAATTGTAGTAAGAGCGGAGCAGGACCGTTTCCCGGATGCTTTCCCCTCAGACGCGTCCCAGACGCTTTGTTTGCCTCCTTTTCGCCGGACGCAGGACAAGCAGCTGGCGGAGCATGTCACCAAGGTGCACAGCGCTTACGAGAAGAAGGCGAGGTCTTGAGCTGTGACAGAGCGTGAAAGATCCTGAAGACAAGTTTGGGATGTGGTCAACAGATCCATTCCTGTGGATTTGAAGGCGTATACCTAGACCCTCCCGAGGCAATAATTTTTGCCGTAGACTGCTGAGGCAATAATTTTTGCCGTAACTCATTTTTTTCTGCCGTAGCTCAATCCCTGGAAAGTGAACCATTTGTCACTGGATTCTGTGGGGATGTGGGATTTTCAAGCCATGCCGCCATGCAGCCATGCCCAGCCGATGGCATCTCTGTGCCAGGAGATCGAGGGTGGCATGGAGCTCGAAGACTCCGATGTCCTTGGTTTGGGCTTCAAGCCTTACAACCACAAGTTCATGCGTGCCTTCGTGAGGCGGACCCGAGTGAAGAAGCGCAAGGGTGGAGAGAATGGCCGAAAAGAAATGGGGGTGGGCAAGTGCATATTCAATTTCACTGTTTTCTTCAAGATCAGGGTTCTTTTTGTATGGTTCTGTTGCCAGATGTGATCAGGGTTTTGGCCATGTGCATCCTAAAGTGCATTGGCAGAATGGGTTTCTTGCATTTCAGGGGTGGCTCACTTTGTTGTGCAGACAATGCGTTTGAGCATTTGCCTGGCTTGGGTCTGTGATAAGCAGCCACCCAAAGCCTTTTGAGAAAAACATTTGTTGATATTTGTTGCATCATGTTGCCGTGCCCAAGATCTTTGCCTCCGTGTCCCCACATGAGCACCCTAACACACTCGCTATGTTGTTGATATAGTTCAAGAAAAGAACGAGTCCAGGGTTTCCACAGTTTCTTATTTCTTCCACAGTTTCTTGTTTAATCCTTGTTTCCTTATGTTTCTATAGTAAGTTAGCCTTATATATATAGCTGTTTCCTGGTGTATCATGGGAGAGATCTGGCTTTGGACACGATGTTCCGAATCTGAATCCACCATGAACCAGGAAGGCCCGAAGCTATGAGCCTGTCCTGGACGATGCGTTGCGCAATGACATCGCTGATGCCTATGTTGCCATGCGTGCCATGGCAGATGACATGGGTCCCGATGCCGGGTTTTTCCGCAGCTTCCGGTGAAAGACCTCATGTTGCTGGAGTTGATCATGCCCCCTCCCCCCCAAAAAATAAGACGCACTCATCGATGAGGTAAAGGACCAGTTTTGCCAGTCGTGCAGTGAACTGGTTCAACTATTTTTCCTCTCGGGAAAGAGGCTCTCGTGCCAGAGAATCTGGGGCGGGATGCGTCAACAGCTGTAGAGTTATCAAGTTGTTTTATTTAAAGGGCTGAAGAAACTGGCCTATGTTGCAACATGTTGCAAGGATATGTTTCGTTGCTTCACTGAGGCGATGACGAGAAGCGTGACGGGATCCAGGAGAAGAAGTCTTACACCACACCACGCACGCTCTTGGCCATCATGCGGCTCTCACAGGTGTGGGCATGTATAAGTTGGAGTTCTCTCACAAACAGCTTTGGAACATGGCTTGTCACATTGCCCTTCCGGCTCAGAATAGTGGGTGTACAGTCTTGAATTCACGTTTTCACGGCCTTTATAACCTGATGAATCTTATGAACCTTGCTTGTCACATTGTTGCTCAATGGCTACTCGACAATGAGTGAAATCAGGGCACCAACAGCAGTTCTGAACATGCCAAGTTGGGCAGCAAAGCTATGAAGTGTAATGATTTTAAAATAGTTCAATGATGAACATTTTGTAAAACGTTTTGTACCTTGCCCTGCCTGGATTTGTTTGGGCTCCTTAGTGTGTATTGGTTCACTTCTCGGGATTGCAGGCCTCCAGTCTCTTCAGCCACATCCGTTGACGAGAAGACTCCTCTCGTCATCTCTAAGGACCTCTCAACCGGTCTCTCCCAGTGCAAGGTCCTCTCTTCCCCAGACCATTCACCGTGCCAGGTCTGTAATGGTTGCCGACATTCCAAGGGTGATCATTGGGGCGGCTAGGCAGGCAAAGGTATGTATAACCATAATCCAGTCCCATATGGATCAATGGTGGCGAGACAGGTTAGGGTCATAATTGGGAATTAGTTAGTACTGTAACCATTTCAAGGTTCCGTGGATGTGTTGATTTTGCTTCAGGTGGGGTGGTGTTTTTCCCCGATGGTTAAATCAAATCCCCAAACCAAACGGGAAGATGTTGTGATGTCTTCCAGGTTGGAGCCGCACATCCAAGAGATGGATTGATTTCACCGTTCCTTCGTTTCAAAACCCCGATGCCACCGGGTCACCGCATGCCAGGCGCATGCCCGCGCGCGCTTCTCGAACCGCGTGGAGCGTCAAGACTTCGACGAGGCCATGCGCCTCATGAAGGCCTCCAAGGACGAGCGACGAACTCGACGAACGCGCCGGGCCGGTGCCGGAATGCGCAGGGAAAAGCGGTAGGTAGGTGGGCAGGTGGGGTTCCTGCAGGGTTTGGGTGCGGACAGAAGTATAGGCTAGGCTAGGGTCGGCTAGTAGTATCAATTTAATAATTAGTGACTCACATAATTAGTGGCTTAGGATGGTTTTAGTATGTGGGGAAGGGTAAGGTGCTGGAAGTGAAACGTATTGTTTTCTGGATCATGTAGAACTGAATTGGCCCGGGGGGAGCGAGCCCTTCTTGTTCGTGCCCAGGGCTGCATGTTCCTCGGTCTCAAAGCCCCGCAGTAATTCATAAAGGAATCCATTTGAGCCACGTTTTAAACCTCAGTTGTCATGTCAAGTAAGGAGATCCTTGTAAAACACAGCTCATTTGCAATTCCAATTCCATGCGAATGACGAATTGGTTGCTACCTTCACGTGCTCTTTGAGGAGAGCATTGAGCTGAGTGCGCCAGCGAAGCGTGGGCAAAATCCTTTGGATGTGATCTATGAGCACCATGGTTTGCATAGCCGAACACCTGTGGCTTTTAGATCTTTTAGGGCTGCAACTGTTGAAGGTCCAGGTGTTGAAGGTGTTTGCAGGATGGGCTTGTTTTCACAAGGGTTATCTATTTGTCTGTTTTTGGTGGTTCATTAACATCTCTTAACATATATAGGAAAAGATACAAACATCACAAAATCCAAACCCAATAATCCGTTATTCTCTTGGCACTCGCGGTGGCCCGCCATGGGACTGACGAGCCCCAGCTTTGCCGGTTCGCCACTTCGTCGTGGCTTTGGTGGAGTTCGGTTTAGGAGACTTGGTCGTTCCACTTGTTGTGCTGTATTCAGGCACGCTCGATCACGCTCGATTACATTGAACTGTCTTCACCCGTGCCCCCTTCCTCAATGAAGCATGAGTATAGCCCTCCAATCATGCATATAATGACGTACTATGTATTGAGGAGTTCTTCTTCTTTGGCCACTCATTCTTTTCTTCGTGCTCGTTCCTTCCCACTTGCTCTTGCTCCTCCGTTTGCCCATCGGTCGGTCGGTCTGAGGATCCTGGCTGACTTGAGCCGCCGGGACTCGGTGAAGGACGGCTGGGTGGATGTGACGCACGTGGTCAGCATGGCCGGCCACAAGGCGAGTGGGGCGTGGACGGTGGACGGTGGCGCGGTTGCGGTAACACGGTGTGAGATGGGTTGGCTGCCCTATAGGTGCGGTGGAGGATGGGGTCTTGAAGGGTAGGTTTGGATGGATGGATGGATGGATGGATGGGTTCTTTGGAATGAAAAAGGTAGGGCAAACAGTAGGGAGCGACTCATTTGGTGATTATTGTTGCAGGCTTTGACCAAGGAGCTGGTGATGGAAGGCATTGAGAGCTGGCAGAGCTTGGGCGTGGCTACTTGCCTGAGATCCAAATTGAGGGACCTGGGCGGTCGACGCAAAGATGGTGCCCCATGCCGTTGGTGTTTGACTTCTCCTGAGTTTGATGGTGTGAGCTGAATACTTGTCAACATGTCAGTTGGACATGGAGGTTCCATGATATTCCAATGTCCTACTCTTAAGAACGTAACCCCAAAGAGTGATTTCGCACGGTGATGGCATGTTTCTCTAGCTGTCCATGAGTTTCACGCTGTGGAACTCCTGTTCCACACACATGGAGAGACGGACTTTGGTACTACCTCAAACGTCAGATTGTGTGGGCAACAGGCACTTCAAGCATCATGATCGTGTTAAAGTGTCTTGGAAGTCTTCATGTGTGGCCATCGTTTTTTTCTGGCTGAAAGACGGAGTTTTCCAACCAGACACTCCATGGGGCTGCCATATATGCCGCCCCATTGACCCCGACTTCTACCACCCCTGGCCTGATCGGCAGTCCTATGGCAGTCCCAGACACGTCGTGTCTGGGATATCGTTTCCCCCTTTTCCTGCGGAGGAAAACCCAGAATCGTTCCGTGGGGCCCTGGAACGTGAACGATGGACCATCTCGGATGCTCGGTTCACCTCGAGTGGTTCCAGTTCCTCTCGTGCCTCTCGTTCCTGCAGTGAGGTGACGATGAATCCGGAGAAGACCATGGTGCAGTTCTTGGTGCCGGTGGAGTGAGCGAGGGAAGGAATCCTCCCATCGCTTCCGGGGCGATTTGGGCTGAAGCACAGAACAATGGGGCGGGAGAGGACTGGTTAGAACCGCTGAGGGAGGGTGGAGAGGCGGCAGTGCTTTGGAGACAAGCCGGTTTTCAGAAGGGTCTTCAGCTTCAGTAAATCTTCCAGGAGCCCTCTGAAAAGTATCTAATTAAGTAAATTAGCTTACGAGGTGAATTGGCCATGAAGGATGCTTGTGGTCAAGGCCTTGAAAGGCTTTTACGGAATGAGCACGCCCCTTGGAAGACCATTTTCCTCTACAAACAGGGGGGGTTCCACTTCCATGTTAGCTCCAGGGACAGCACCTCGTCATTTGGAGAAGTCCAAGAACGTCTCCGACTTGCCGTGTCAACATCCCTCATCAGCGCTCCATCTTGGGACCACATTGGTGCGAAAACCAATGTGCTGAGCTCCATCTTTTTGAAGGATCCACGATTTCGGACATCACTGGGTCGTGTTGTTTCGTTTCTTGGCAGCGGCGGAAGTGGATAGGCAGAAGCATGGATCCATATATATTGGATCCAGCAAGGTTTTTTCTTCCAACACACTATTAGATGGACATGTAAAATACGGTAAAATCCCTGTTCAACATGTTTTGGAAGCCGTTTCTCATCTCTTTGGGTATTTTTGTTGTTGCCTTTTTGTCGAAGACACACCCAGTTTGTGGTTCCTTCAAAAGCACCTCCCGCGGTGTTTGTTGGAGGTGTTGTTTCAGGAGCAGAACGGCAGAACCTCCTTTCGGCTCAACGAGTTTGTTGGGAACTGCTGGGTCGAAAAGGGGCAACCGAACAATCCACCTCGCTGTGGGTCGGATGCTTCACATGCGTCGAAAATCATGTGCGGAGATGCAGCGCAGATCTTATAGAGTCTGTCTCTGGGAGGTTTTGGAGCTGGAATGTTTGGAGGTCCTGGGGAATCCTCCAGGAGATCTACTGTAGACGCATTGATTTTTTATGTGTCAACCCCACATTTGAAGATGCTTTATAATCTTTCAATTTGTGGGATTTATCAACAGTGTAGCTTACAGCCCACAAAAAGGCTCGGGGAGGGTATAAGTATATGGTGAGACGATAAAGGTCCTTTAAGAGTCTAGTCAAGTGGTTGCTAGATTTTCTTTGCCGCATTGTCATTGAGTCATGCCCAAGACGGTGGGCCAGATCCAGATAATATCAATCACACGAGGTATGAAAACGCTATACCTAATAACATCTATGAGAACTGAACTAAATAACGCTTGATGGAGATCGCTCAACATTCCACCCAACAATTAATATGAACTGGACATGCCCCCATGCTTCTTGAGTTCACCCAACCTTGGCCTGTCGTTCGTTTGTTTCCGCTCGAAGCAATCACACCCTGGAAGACGATCCCATGGATCCTGAAAACCACGTCGGTTGGTAGAGGAACACATTCTTCCAGAGGGTTAATTCATTGTCAGGGTCCATGTTAGTGGTCGGGAGGGTACATTTCGACCCTTGATCCCAAAGTATACGTAGACAAGAACTGGGTCCACTTTGCTGTCACGGGTTTGGTCCCACCTTCACAGCTGGCATTACGAGGAGACCTGTAGTACCTATGGTTAATCGCACGTTCAGGCCAGGTTTGACGATGTCCATCATGTTCTTCCCTGAAGATCATGACTTTCGAGTCACTCCGTCACCTGAATGACAAGTTCCAGATGGTTCCAGATCCGTATGCCGCATATGCCTGAACGTCGTCAATTCGTTTTTGCAGATCTCATTGGCACTTTACAGGAGAGTAGAGTCACAGCTTAGGCAACAGTTCCAAAGAAGCAGGTACGTCGGTGAGCGTCCCCACTGATATCAGTGTTCAATGCAAGCCTCTTCGTTGGGCTGGTACTTGCATGAACAACCAGCCCCCCTGAAAAAGCATTCTCAAATCAATGGAACCCCTAAGACTCCAAGGGTTTCACACTTCGAACTTGAATTCTTCAGTTAATGCAAGTATCACGTTGGGAAGGAAGGCGAGGGAACGGAAAGGTGCATAAGTCCGCAAAAACTGTATTGTTGAACAGTGTTGGCAGCTGGACTCGAAAACGATCGGACACTCTGCGCGGCCTCAAGTCTGCTGCAAGTCTGCGGTGGGGAAAAAAAAGGTTTGGGGGTGGTAGCATGAAGAACCATGGAAACAAACAAGGCAAATTAGACAGCGTGGTCAAAAGTTCAGGTAGCAGGTACACGGAAGTGATCAGCTTCCGCTTCCTAGGATCTTGCAAAGAGCTTCGTTGGGCAGAGCTTTGCAAGTCCTCTCTGCCCCCCTGCTTGCGAAAGGTGGTGGTGGAAAACCCTTTGTCCAGGGGTGGACACACACAAGTCGCCGCGTTCGGCGCTTCTTTCAAAAACCGGTGGCAGGCGTGGTAGTTATGCCCCTTTTGGACATATAGGTTGACGAGTTCAGCCGCAGCAACGTCAGCGCTGGAGGGTGGGAATGTGTATTTTCGAATGGTGTGGAGTCGTGATTGGAGGCCTGATAGAGCCAAGCGCTGGCTCCCGGCGGTTGTGGAGTCCCGGATTTTCCAGGGTTGGGAAGGTTGCATGTAGGTGATGGTGCGTTGTGGGAGGTCGATGTTGAAACCGAGGAGATGAAAATCCTCCACCGGTTCGAGTTCGACTGGGTCGCCAAAGAAGTTGTGGTGGATGAGGGTTTGGATAGCCGGGTGTTGAAGGAAATGTTCGTTGTGGACAATGAAGCGGTTGTCGACATATCGATAGTAAGTAAAGTGGAGGTCTGTGTGTTGAAGGAGGTTGTTGTGGATCTGATGCCAGGAGTGCTCAATGAGGGTGATGGCAACATTGCACAGGGCTGGAGAGAGCTGGGATCCAATCCCGGCCCCTCGGATTTGTTTGTAAGTATTGTTGCAAGCCCGGAAAATGCATGTGTTGAGGGCAAAAGCCACGATGGTGGTAATGTCGGAAGTCTGGATGGTGCGTTGGGTAGGGTGTTTCCGATGGTGTCTGCCAATGTGGGAGTGGTGGAAAGGATTGCCGGTGGCCTGGACATCCACCGTCAAGGTGTGTGTGGGTTGCTGTTGCTGCCAGTGGTGGACGAGGGAGTGAACTGCATCGATGAGTCGGTGTTGTGGGACTGAGTTGAAGAAACCGACCAGGTCATCGTTGGTGGCGTGTAGTGAGATGTCTGGTGGGGTTTGGGTGAGGTAGCTGTGAAAGTGGTGCCACAGCTGGGGAATGGACATTTGACCGGGATGTTGGGGGTAGAGGTGTTGGAGGATGATGTCAAGGGCACGGCTGGTAATGCGAAACAGGTTGCCACTGAGTGATTGGAAGTATGAAATAATGGTACGGCCTTTTTGCCAGTGCTTCTTTTCCTTGAGGTGGACAACGCCGTAGGGAATGTTGAAGTCTTTTCGGAAGCCCCACTTGTAGCGAGTGCGCAAAATGGGGGGGGACCGTGGCGGCCAGGTGGTCGTGGATATTGGCGGCAGTGATGTGGGGAAGTGGTTCGAAAAGTTCGGGAGATTGCCAGGTGTTCAAGGCACCAGTGAAGTATTGGCGAGGGCAAAACAGCCGGAGTTGTTGGAGCTCATGGTCGGCATGGTGGAGTAATGTGTGTTGTCCCAAATGTTCTTGGAGTTGACGAAGCAGGCGGGCCGTAAAACGGGGTTGTTGCTTGAGGTGTGTGTTGTGAAGGCGCCATTGGTGCTCAAGGAAAGGCGGTAGGTGTTGAGCGAGGGATGGTGGAAGCCCCTGTAGTTTGAGCCATTTGGTGTAGGCCTTGGTGAAGATGAGGAAATACCGAGCTTTGCTTGGGTAATAGGTGCTGTTCATATTGGCGTTGAGTTGGTCAAGTGTGAGAATGTAGTGGCCATTGATGGTGGGGGTGTCGGGATCCTGCAGGAGGGTGCGAAGGTGATCGCATGCACAGGGGAGGTCTGCTGGATCTGGCGGGGAGTGGAGGGTGTCCTCCCATGTGCGGTGGTTGTGTAGGTGGGAGCGGAGGGTTTTGTGGGCTGCTTCCCTCAGTCGGTGGGAGGGGAGGTGGAGGGGAATGGTGAAATGCTTGTGCTGCTGGATGGTGGTACGAAGCCATTGTTGGCAGTGCTTGGTAAAGTCGTCGTGGGCCAAGAAGGGCACTGTCAATGGGATGTTTGGTTTTGGTGGCGTGAGGTTGCGGTAGATCAAGGCTTTGTTGAGGATGTGGAGAGCTCGGCTGCGGCCAGGTTCTTCCAGGTTTGCGGCCATACGCCGGATTGCATACACCTCGAGGTCCGTGTGGCGGCCGCTGCGTATCTGTTTTGCTGCCTCAAAGGAGGCTGCAGTGTGTTTGGTAAGGTTGCGAAGAAGTTGAAGGGCGTGATGCTTGGTGGAGGTGTAGAGGTGTGGTTCTCTGAGGGTGTATTGGCGTTGGCGAAGGCGTCGGAAAAGTCGTTTGTGGGTGGCTAGTCTGGAGTAGAAGTGGGCTCTGTGTTTTGCGAACTGCCATCCCTGAGCTTTGAGTTTGAGGTGGTGTGAAATGAAAGGCCAGTTGAGTGACGGCATCCAATTGGCGATGTAGTGGTGCTCTTGGATCCAGGCTTGGTCGTATGTGTCATGGGAGGTGAGTTGAATAGTGGTGTAGTGGTGGATGTTGTTGTGTGAATGCCAATAACGTAGGGAGAGTTCTGCAGAAATGGGAATGTGGTTCTGGAGTTGTTTGAGTTTGGCGCGGCGGTTGTGCTCGCGGTGGGGAATGCCGATAGCTGTGGAGCCGACGTAGAAGTGGCCATGTTGATGGTAGCAGCGTTGGGGTTGGTCGGGATTGAAGTGGAGCTTGATGTAGACGGAATTGGAAGAGAGGAAGTTGTGGTAGTGGTAGGTGTGGGGCGAAATGTGGAGCTGGCGGAGGCGGTTGCGCCATTGTTGTGAGCGACGGGTGTTGGACGGGTGTGCAAAAAGAAGTGTGATGTGGATGAGGCCGGTTGCAAAGATGGCCTCGGCGCGGTCGATATATTGGGTGCGGTGGATGAGGATGGAAAGTGCGCGGTGTAGGTGGAAAAGTTGGGTGAGGTTGGTGTGGCTGGGTTGCTGCTGGGCCACGATGGCGAGTCAGCAACCAATGGCTGCGCCGACTCCCAC